TTACATATATATACTTTATGTATAAATAAAATTGTATGTATTATGTGTAAATATAATTATATATTATATATAATGTAAAATAAAGCATAAAAGAAAAATAAAGAATGAATAAAAAAATAAAAAATATCTAGCAATGTTTGATGTTAATCAAAAAAAAAATCAATAGTCACATTGACTATAAATGCTTTAAAAATACCATACAAACGTATGATATTTGTTTAAGAAGTCCTAATTATATGTTTATTTATAAGATTGAAAATGATAAGAATGAGAAAATTTACGTTTGTCTTTAAACGTGTTTTATGTTTAATGTTGTTTTAAAGCCTAGTGATGGCACTTAATCACCTCTTACAATGACTTTGTTTCTTTTATGATCTTCTTACTGCTCTTCTATACTGGTAGAAGGGAAGCAACACGCCTTACTGAGGTTCTAGGAATTTCATTGCTCTGTGAATCTCCATGTCACAGCATGAGGACAGGGGACAGGGGGGTGCACCAACCTTGTCAGTGTGCTGCATGGGTAAAGTGAGAACTTGAAGGAAGTGAGAAATAAGAAGCAACTTTCAGACTGACGTGTAAAGTACAAAGCAGAACACATGAAGTGCCACTCTGCAGTGTGACGTGGAGCCACCTCAGGTAAATGATGGGTACTGATGGCACTTTGCATATTTCCATGTCCAGACAAGGCCTTAAAAAAAGAATGGAGAACAGGGTTAGCTAATGAGGATTTACAGAAAGTAAAGTGTGTACAAAAAATGATGTCATTCACCTCAAAGTGCTTAAAAGAAGGACAAAGAAAAGTGTCAGTAGAGAAAAATGGAAAGTCAATGGGAAAATGTGCACTTAACTGAAGCACATTGTATTAAATGTAAATGGGTTAAACATACTGATTAAATGCAAAGACTGTCAAATGGTAAAAAAAATTACTCAACTATATTCTGGGCAAAAATCACATTTAAAGATTAGGTACAGAGTAGACGAAAATGAAAATATGGCATTGAAGGAGTACTGGCATTGCTACTTAATATTAATAACAGGTAAAAGTAAATTGGAGAGGTATTGTGTATAAAAGATCACCAAAGACATTTTCAAATGACAAAAGTGGAAAGTCATTTGGAAGTGCAATCATAATTAAAAATTTAACACTCTTCTTTAAGGAATAGATAATAATCTAAAAATCCCAAAGTCATTATGTACTCAAAGGAACCAAACTACATGATATGCAAAGAGAAATAAGTTTCAGTGACTCTGATCTACTGCAGAAATAGAGGGCAGTGGAGTGTCCACACTTTTTCACGTCGTCAGCATGATCTTTATTTCTAAAACTGTAAAATGGTAAAAAAAATTACATAATAAGCACTTTGTAAGAAAATGAAATCCCAACTTCTAAAATGTTGACAACAGTGGAAAGCTAAATCCCATGTAGCAAAGGGTTCTACATCACAAATAAGTGAGGCTTATTCTAAGACAAACAGATAACATTTGATTATTTATTATCAAAAGCTCTTAAGAAACTTAAAGTAATCTTATCTATGTAATGTCAAGTCTTCTTTCTAAAATCCCCATTCTTGATTGAAGTTGTATTAAACTAAGAATATAAGAGCATTTTTTTCATTTGAAAAAGATAACTGCCCCCAAACCTAACAGCCATGACTGTCAACAGTGCAATACTGAGAACATTTCTTCATCCACCTGAGGGCAGGACAAGTAAGACACGCTTATTCAGCCTTGTGCTGAAGGCCCAGCCTCTGTTTAGAGGCAAAAACCAAAATAGAAAAATGCAGAATCCTCACAGATTTTTAAAAATGTGTTGTTATTAATTATGCAGGGCAGTAGAACACATTTTGACACATTGTACACACATAGAGCACATCTTCTAATTCCTCTGGCTCACGTGGTGGAGTCATTCCAGTCGTGTGATCATGCATGTATACAGGGTAATAATGTCTGTCTCATTCTACCATCCTTCCCATCCCCACAGCCCACTCCTCCCTTTATTCCCCTCTACACAATCCAAAGTCCCTTCATTCTACCCCACCCCCACCACTAGGGATCAGCATCCACTTATTAAAGAAAACATCCGGCCTTTAGTTTTTGAGGTTTGGCTTATTTCATTTAGCATGATGTTCCCTAGCTTCATCCATTTACTTGCAAATGCCATAATTTCATTCTTCTTTAAGGCTAAGTAATACTCCATAGTGTGCGTGTACCTCATTTTCTTTATCCATTCATCTGTTGAAGGGATCTAGGTTGTTCCATAGTTTAGCTATTGTGAATCAGGCTGCTCTAAACATTGATTTGGCTGCGTCGCTGCAGTGTGCTGACTTTAAGTCCTTTTGGTATAAACTGAGGAGTGGGATCGCTGGGGCAGCTGATGGCTCCATGTCAAGTTTTCTGAGGAATCTCCTTACAGCTCTCCTGGAATCCAGCCTGTCATTACTTGCAGACCTCACGATTATGGTCTTATGGATTAACTTCCTGAAGAATGTACAAATAAACTAAATTGTAGCGGTCCCCTTTATTCCAGGTTCCCTTCCTGGGGTTTCAGTCTCCCCTGGCCAAGTGGGGCCAGAAATTACTACGTGGAAAATCCCAGGAAAAAACAGTACAAGTGTGAATTGCGCAGGATTTGAGCAGTGGTGGGACCTCTGCCTTCCACCCCTCCCACTGGCGACACACATCATCGGTCTTGCTGCTAATAATGTTGCAAGTCACTCATTTCAACTCCCTGTCCGAGAGTCACTCAGTCGCTTTCTCAGTTGTCACCTGTCTGTGCTGGTGCCTGTCACAGTGCTTGTGTTGAAGTCACCAGGATTTCATTTAATAATGACTGAAACGGCACCCGTAGTGCTGCTGGCCATCCATGCATGTCAACAGGCCTGTGCTGGGGTCTCCACGAGCCAGGGCCAGGCGAGTCCTCCCCCTTGAAGTCCTGAGAGCCGGACGCATGCGTGTGTTCTGCCGTCACACCTCAGCCGCCTTCCCGCCAGGGCTTGGTAAGGGCTTAGTCCAGAGGGAGAAGCACGGCGTTGGAGGTGGGCACGTGGACAGGGCCTGCAGAGTCTCACCTGAAACCACCGAGACTCCACCGCAGGGAGGGATGGTTACACGGACCCAGGAATGGCGTGGACACCCCGAGGCATAACAATTCCTGGAGGGGGCTGTCTGCCGAGGAAGAAGCAGAGCTGAAAAGGTCGATGAGGAAGAACAGGCTCCATCCAAAGACGATCTTCAATTACCATCGAGCCAGGCTTTCCTGGAAGAAGATGAACAACAGAATCTGCCTTCTTAAAAGCACCAAGGAGGCACCAGGGTATAAGATGTGGAAGGACAGATTGGAGCAGAGATGCACCAACACTGCAGGGCCTGTGAGAAAGCCCAGGGAGTGCACTGAGCAAAAACCCACACTCTAACACCAAAACCCAAACCAAGATTGGCCTATATCCAGGCCACAGGATCAGACAGTGTGAGTGACACCCACCTTATTCATGGAAGGGGTCTACCAGGGCTTCGTCCACATGTGAAAAACTACTGTTCATAACGGACAGTGAACAGGCCATCCTGAATCTGCTTCCTATGGAAATGAAAATGCCAACTTGAATTTTTATCACCAAATACAACCTCATGGCTGTAGCCTCTTGCCCTGGGTTGTGTTATGGTGTCTGGTCACATTCTACCCATAACTGACATACCCTCATCGGGACGTGACTGCTCGGCTAAAGATGTGCCCTACGGCAGAAGTGGTGAGATCCGTCAGTGCTGCCTGATGCAGTCAAGCCAGAAACGGCAAGAGGCGGCGGGAAGCCCAAAAGGACTCAGGGAACGGACGATTTCAAAGGCTCCCCAGGGGTGGATGGAGAAGCCGGCTGGACCGTTAGTGTATCAAGTCGAGGCGGTGGAGGTCAGCATGCACGGTGAGGTCAGCATGCATGGTGAGGTCAGCTGCACGGTGAAGGAGTGGAAGAAGACAGAAGGCCACAGAGAAGCATGAGCAAAGACGAATTCCAAGAACTCGCTGCGTCCTCTACGGAGGAAAAGAACCAGGTGTAGAAACTGAAGTAGAACAAACAACATAAATATCACGGAATTTCTCAGATGCCTTGAGTTGCAGACATCTAAGGAGAAAATCACACAATATGATCTGTAGAGGGAAGGGAGCATCACCGTCACCTTCGTGGTCACAGGAGGAGCACGCAACACATCCATGAGTTGGAAAGGAAGAGAGAACTTCATATAGTGTTTTCCCAAAAGGTGTCGGTAAAACATGCTCAGTTGGGAACCCCAGCCATCAACCCTGTTGGTTCAGTGATCCAGGGTCACCATAGCAGGTCCTCCTCCTGAGTATCCTCCAAGGTCAATAGTAGCCTTAGGCTGAGTCGAGACGCCTGTCAATCCTCTGCTTCTTCTCCTCAGGTAGGCATTGACCTGTCCACATCTCAAGATGGCTGAGCTCAGAACAAGAAGATACTCTGAGAGAGAGAGACACCCCATTCATGTGATTTTTGTCACAATATATTATTATTTAGTTGTTCTATTTTATCATTACTTACTGTTGTTTTTCTCTCGTCTAATTTATGAGCTAAACTTTACCATAGATACCACAGATAGGGAAAAACACAGTGTACATGAGGTCAGCATCTCTGTGGTTTCAGGAACCCACTGGGGCCTTGAATGTATACCAAAGGAGAAGAGGGTCTACTCCGGTACGTAAGTTTAACAAAGCTGCTGTACAAAGGTCATCATAAAAATCAACTGTATTTATATATTAACAACTGACAATTGGAAAAAATCACATTTGTAAAAGCTGTCACTTACTATTGTACTACAAGTATCAAATACTAGGAGCAAATCTAAGAAAAATGAGTAACATTTCCCAATTGTGTGTTCAAGGATTGGAAGATTCAATATTATAAAAAAAAATTATCCCCAAGTTGACACATAAATTTGTTTCAATTTCAATCAAAACCCAAAATTTAAGGAAGCCTTTTTTTTTCTTTTAGAAATTGATACAATTACTCTGAAGTTATTATGGAGAGGCAAAAGCACAAAATTAGCAAGGATGGTCTTAAAGGGTAAGTTTGGAGCAGTAATAGTGTAAAATCAGGATTCGCCATCAAGCTTCACGAATCCACACCATCAGGGGGCTACCGGATTGCATAGCCGTTCTCTCATGGAAAAATAATACAGGTGAAATCCCATCTCAGAAAACACACATTTAAATTCCACTTAGAAGTCAGATTTAAATGAGTACTAAGATTAAAAAAAAAAGTAGTTGAGAATATAAGCTTGGCTTAAAGTTGGGGCAGAGGAGATATTAAAAGGATTAATAATAAAAGGAAAAAATATAAAGTGAGATATTAGTAAAAAATTACCAGAAGGAGTTAACCCATTGAAGAGGCAGTGCCCACGGTGAGATGAGGCCTTCTGCATGCACACCACCTGCAAGGGACGCACCCCGAGCCCTCACAGAGACTGTCATAAGGCTAAAGTGGACACCCCAGGAGAAAGGCGGACACAGCTTTAGCAGGCCTCTAACAAGGTAGAATATGGAATTCCCGGTCAACACATTAACTGGTCACCTCTCAGGGGCCAGGGAAATGAAGTCCATCCTTTCTGGGTTATCACCGCACACATGCGGATCTGAATGGGACATCACGAAACCCCCCCAGGGCTGCCGAGGAGAGCCTGCCGTGAGACACAGCGCTGACCAGGGTCTGCCCACAGAGGACTCTGGAAGCTGGCCGGCAGAGGGAGGACCCAGGGACACAGGCAACTCCGCGACAGCAGTGCCACTGTTGGGAACTGCACCTCCGCTGGCCGCTGAGGGTTGAGTCACCATGTTTGACTCTACAGAGGTGGAAACACTCGCATTCAGTGGAAACCCTACTGCAAACTAAATGCATTTTTTACTTATAACATTTTCAACTTATGATGGGTTTATCAGGATACGACTGAGTCATAAATCAAGTAGCATCTGTATCAACTTAACAGAAACGGATAACTTTTTCACCCGCAGACACATACAGGAGTGCTCGGTGACTTTAAAAATAGCCATGAAAGAAAATTGACAGTCTGCTTCAAATGCCTTAAGAAAATCAATACTCATAACATTATTTTAAAAGATTTGAGCCTAACTATATTGCTAGAAATATGGACAAAAATCTATGGACTTACTTATACAAATTAAAAAAAAAAAAAAACCTGGAATCTAAATAATGAGGGGAAGATTGCCATGACTGAGATTTATTCTTAGGTCAGAATATTCTACAGTCATTAAACTTCACATTCACAGAGATAATTTAATGTCAAAGGTTAATGATTCTCAAATGTGATCTGAAAACCCCTGAGGTGGCAATAGATGCTCAGGGTTCTTAGGAGATCAGAATTTTTATGAGACTATCAAGATACTTTGAACACTCCTTCTTTTGCACGTGTGTAAATGTTTATCAAGAAGGTTCAAGAATTCAGACTAACTAACCTTCAGGAAACTACTGATCATCATAGTGTGTCATTTATATATACCTGTCATGATGATCTGGGCAGAAAATAAAATCTCCTCTTTCCAACAGTGAGACTAGAGAGCGTTTTAGTAGCTAGGTTAAACAAGCCAACTGATCGCAACACATTCAAGGGAGATGCAGGCAGGTGAATCCAACTGTCTTAAGTCAGATATAGGTTTGTGACAGTGTGAAACAATGCCTCCATCACACAAATATTTTGTTTAGGGAAACACAGGTGTCACAAAGTGCATTATCTTTGTCAACATGTGACAGGGATATATTGTTATTTTTAAATGACAAAATGCAAATTCTAATCTCTCAGTTTTACATTCTGATGTGGTAAACTCAACTCATACAGTTTACCTGAAGCAAAATTCTTGGCCAATGGAGTAATGGTTAATAGTAATGCTCCAGGGATGAGAAGGACTGAGAACTACCCACACAGGTGGTGGTCACCACACAGGAAACTGAGCAGACTCCCAGCCTGGCGTTGGCTGTGAGCACAGCGGGTGAGCAAGGGGCCGCTGACTTCCCCTCACTCTGGGACTTCCCTTCTCACCAAGGCAGAGTCACAACACCACCTTCGAGGACAAACAAAAGGACATATTTGACCTTGGCATACTAGAAACCCTCATTTTTTGTCTATGAATAATTACTTACTTTAACAAGAGAAATGCTTACATTTTATTTTGCTATATATATAAAAATAATTTGTTAAAACAAGGATCAGAGAGAGAGAGAGAGAGAGAGAGAGACATTGTATTTGCCACAACTAAAACTCTTTATATCTAATCTTAAAATGAACACTAGAAATATGCTAATTTGTTTTTAGAAGAAAAAGTGAATATTCTATTTTCATTTATGTGATGACTATAATGAATTTGTTTGATATTTAATTTTATTGATCAGGCTTGATTTTGGCATCCTTAGAAGGAAGCTGCATTGGGATTATTCTGTTGGCGTGATGGAATTACAGTCTTGTTTTTCTTCAACCAACCCTTCATGTCAAGTGGCCACGTTGAGCCTCCAACAGGAGATGACAATACAGACAACCCTCAGTAATTGTGGGAGAAATAAGGCCTCTCACGTGAAATGTTGATAAAACAAGCAAACTTAAGTACCTTGAGCAATAAAAGCAATACCACTGTTACTGACTGCCTGGATTTTCCTTGGATCTGAGGGGAGATTTTCTTACTCCTTAATATTCTGGATGAATGTGCAGCACTCTTCTTCAGTAGAAAATGGTATTCTTTCTTTGATGTTGTTCTAAATATTCTTCTATAATATGGGGATGCCCCAGGTGATTTCTTATTATTCCTTTTTCTCCACATTTTATTCTTCTGCCTGTCTTCCCTAAATTGAAAATAGGTTTCATTTTTTGAACCAAAACTCTTTTGACATCAGTTTCATAACCTAATCCACTCAGCCAACATTCCTTTTCAATTATCCAATGGATACTAAGATGTCATGTAAGATTTTTCATTTAATTTTAAAACTGCCATTGACCATATTTTATAATTAGATAAAGCAAGAATGTTATTAAAATCGAGCTGAAGTTGTGTTTGCTTTGATATGCTCTGGGTAATGATCTTTGGAACAGACTGACGGGTGGCATATTCAAAGACAGATCTTTCCACATTAGCACCATGGACATAGGACAGATCTAAAATGGATTTATTTATGGTTTAAAAAGGTAGGGCAGGGAAAGAGAGGGGAGAGAAATCTGTTATGGAAAGGGAATTCCATTACACAATTCAAATATATTCTTTCAAATACTTGGGAAGAATTGAAATTGGTTTGCCTGTTCAGTTTATTTGGTAAGTAAAATGATGAGCTTTGAAATATCCCTTTATTAACAGTTTGGTGGCTTCCATTGGTACAGCACTTACAGCTTTTGACAGCTCACTCTTTGGTTTGGACTTCAGAGCAAGCCTGAGGGTCTTTAGACAGTAAGTATTTGCACATGAGGAAACAGGAAGAGGACTGCAGGTGAGTGCTCTAATTCATCCTCAAGTTAAACCAGTAAAACCGTACCTGGTCTTCTCTCTACGAGTATTGCTGCTTTCCATCCTATGAGGATTTCTCCCTGTCACTCTAGGGAGGGAAAACTAATGAAAACATGATAATATTTACAAATTCGCCTCAAAATCCAGTAACATCCACTTGCTAAAATGTAGTGGTCACAAAATCTTTTTTCCTCAAATATGTATCCCATCAGTGTTGGCATTAAATCAGTTGGTTTCAAAGCTTCCCAATAAGATGAAATTAAATTATGAAGCTGTACTGAAAAATCCTGGCATTCGTATACATTGTAAAAATATCATACAGGTAATCATTTTAAGTTTTTTACAATAATTAAATTGATGAAGCCTCAAGTAACCCATACACCTTGGGTGGATACGAATGGAGATATGTAGCTGCCAGAGAGCTGAGACTGCTGCCGACGTTGGCACTCACATGCGTACATGGAACATGTGTGTTTATTCAATGTTGTGCTCTCATTGTCAAGAAATTTTTTGATTTCTATTATTTTTATTAATTAATACCACCTCTTGGTTCACAAAGAGTTTTTAGGTCTTTCAAAAATACATATGAAGCATCAAAATATAAAATTAAAATCAGATGAATAAAGAGAGCAAGACAGCAGAACCGAGGGACTGTGGAAGTCAGAGACCCCAGGAAATCATGGAGAGAGAGCGCCCAGTGCATGTGGCCAGCTCTGCTTGGCTACACCCAGTCTGGCCGGCAAGAGCAACATGGAGGAGGGAAGGTCGTTCAGACTCACCGTGGATTCAGATGTTCAGTCCATGGTCAGCCAAGTCCGTGGGTTTGGGCCTGAGGAGATGCTGGACATCGTAGAGGAAGGGTGTGGCAGCCAGGAAGACAGAAGGAGAGACAGAGGTGCCAGAGACAAAGTATCACCCCCAAAGCTACACCCCAGAGACCTGCTTCCTCCAGCACGCCCTACCTGCACAGTGACTGCCCAGTTCACTCGTTTGAGCGAATAGTCTCTGATTCGATTAGTGTTCCCACAATCTAATAGGAACATTCCTTCACCGGGTCATACATGAGCTTTTGGGCCATCACCTCCTATCCAGACCATAACATCGTATCTACTGTTAGTTTCCCCGGATGGCTACCTACAGAACGCGATTTCCACTCCAGCCTTCCTAGGGGAAGACCAGAAGCGTATTGTCAGAGTTCAGGGAACATCCTGAGGATTGCGAACACATCACATCTAACTTATGTGGTCCACACCTAAACACTAGGTGGAAGTGAGAGAGCTCCAGGCCTGGGGCCAACCATGGCCAGAAGCTGTGCATGGCCCTCTCTCCCAGCAGGCTCCAGCGTCAGGGTCCTGGCCACAGTCCACCTGGCCAGGCACTTCAGCCTCTAATGCAGAACACGCATCTCCTGCCTCTCTCACTCTCCCAGGGGCAGGGAGGGTGTCTCCTGTTCCTCTCCACTCCGTCAGGGCACGCAGGAAACATGCTATAGGATAACATGCTAGAGGGGTGGTTCCCTCCATCAGCTCCAACAATTCAATTAGACCACCATCTCTCTCTCTCTCTCTCTCTCTCTCTCTCTCTCTCTCTCTCTCTGATACACACACACAATCATTTTAATTTTAAAAGCACTAACAACCTGGAATTACCTGAAATAACCATGGTAACAGGTTCTGAAGTCATATAAATGGCTTATGTAACCAGAGATGATTCTACAAAATGAAAATTACCTATAATTTATTTCCATTTCTTAAGATGACAATAATATGTGTATTTTTTTTCAGAAATCATGTATTTTGGCTATAGTAGCAATCAAGAAGTTATTCAAAAATTATTTAAAGAGGACTATGAAGGTAGCTTGGTGGTAGAGGGTTTGAACAGTGTGAAGAAGGCCCTGGGCTAGATCCCCAGCACCACCCCCCCCACATACAATTATTTAAAGCTCTTCAAAAGGTACTGGTTATTTTTTGGTTGCTATGGTTATATCTTTTTTAATACTTTTCTAGATACAATGACATAAAATAAAATAAAATAAAATAATTATTATGAACTAAAGACCCAAAGTAAGAACTGGAGCAAATTTCAACCAGAAACCCCTGAGACGTCGGGGCCGTGTGTGCCCATCCTCCCCAGGACACAGGACAGCTCAGGCTGACTCCAGCTCAGCTTTCTCCTCAGGACAATATTCAGTCTTTCTTTCTGTTTGCACTTCTAAACCAGCAGTTATGTGACCTGGGTGTGATGTATCCCACCCAAACAAATATGCAGATGTGCCCACTGACTACTGTCAAGGTCACCCTGTTGCTGCCTCTGTACACCTATTGGGTTGGTAGCTGGCAGTGTGTGGACCCGGGGTGGGGCGGGGGGCAGGGGACACAGGCACGGGTTTCCATTGCTCCAGCTCCGGGGAGCTCTGAAACATGTGTCAGGCCCCTTGAGTAACTAAATCCCCCTGATGGCTCTGGCTCAAAGGATGTGAGGGGGCAGAGGCACAAGTGTCCAGCACTCAGTTCATGTGGGAGAACTCACAGATGTCCCCACACTTATTGTGAGTGTGCAGACTCAATGGAAATTTTAAGAGAGTTCTAGTAAAAACTTAATCAATGTGATTTCATTAATAACAAAATTTGGTCACCTGGAGCTTGTACATAGTATCTTTCACAAGGTTTTATTGAGCTGTAATTCACAGACCACAGGATTCACTCTTGCCAAGGGGTAGACTTTGGTGCTTTTAATACCCTACAGATTCTGGGACTGTTCTGTTTCCAGACACTGTCACCCCCAGGAAAACCCTCATCCATCAGTAGCACCCTTATTCTCCCTCTCCCACCCAGACCTGAGGAACTGCTAATCTGCTTCCTGGATTTACACACTGCCCATTTATCGCTATTCTAGCATGACGATGTGTTTGCAATCAAGACATTTAAATAGGCAGCACATGGAAGTTCTTAAAGCTGGTTCTTGTGGCTTTTTCTTTTTTCTTTTTGAATTATTTTAAATCAATTAGTTTTTAAAAATTAGTTTTAAATTATTTCAACACATACAAAAAAAATCCTTTGTTCACTATCTTAGGCCAATTTTTCTTCATTTATTTGTTTTAAGGAATCATTATCAGTTGCCTCTTACTCAACAGAGGTTACTCTGAAATATGTACATATTCTGAATTTATGATATCATAGACTGTACTTAACACGCCATCTATTACCCTAGTGCAGCAGTCATCAATCCGTGCTGTAGGGTAGATAGGGACATCCTTTGGTCACAACTCCCTTTTACAGGCAGGACTGCGTCACTGCCATCAGATCTGGGCGTTGTGACTTGCCCTGACCATGGGGACAGGGCAGCAGTGTCCTGGAGCTGGCAGCCGCTGTCTTCCATCCCTCGGGGCATCTTGCTACGGCAGCGTGCAGAAGCCTGGGGGTCTGGTGCTTGGTGGGTGTGGAAGAGGAGAGAGAGGGAGGGAAGAGGAGGAGGAGGAGAGGGAGCGAGGCAGAGCTCTTCGCCCGCCCCTGACCGCGAGTCCTCTCAGCCGGCCGCCCACTGAACGAGCCCGGAGGCCACACAGGCGAGCCCCGTGGGTCAGCAACAGCACCCCTGACCTGAGCCTGAGATCTGGAGCGGTTTTCACTGGTCAGAGGACAGCGGGCACACTGCTGGCTTCCCAAGCGTCCATTCCTCGGCTCATCTGGTCCCCCGCCTGCTTTCTGGGGGCCCTTCCCACCTCTGGTTCCTTGGTGACCTGCTGGCCACGTCATAGCTGATGGCCTTCTCCAAGCCCTCTCCTTGGCCTCCCTCAGGTGGAGGGTGTGTTTTGGGCAGGCCTTTTGACCCCAGGAGCTGCGGGGACAGGATCCCCTCTCCTCCAGCCCGCTGTCACGTCTAGGAGACAGCAGGTCGCAGGGTCAGCGGGGACTGCCTCAAAGGCTTTTGGTAGTCTTGTTGCTCTGAAGGGCAACCTTCTTTCCAACGACACATGACTGCATATTTAGAATTGAAATCCATGGACCCTCGGCACCAAAACAGGCCCTGGCTAGTTGTAACCGGCCAGCTCATGTTGGTGAACTGAATCCATAAGAGGCTCCCTGGTACAACCTGAGTCGTAGGTGGACAGGCACCCATTCACAGGGTGGGGGACTTGTGACCT